TGACCTGGCACCTGGACACGGTTGTATACGTGTACCTGGCACCTGGACACGGTTATATCATCATCATCATCATCATCATCATTATTATTAATATTATTATCATTAAAACCATTATTATATTATTATTATATTACTATTTTTTATATTATTATTATTATTATTATTATTATTATTATTATTATTATTATTATCATTATTATTATTATTAGTAGTAGTAGTAGTAGTAGTAGTAGTAGTAGTAGTAATTTGGAAACAAAATGCGTGTGGGTAAAGTGTCTCTGGCGGTAAGATCTCTCACAGAGGAATCCTCCGGTGGGGTGATGCCAATAAACAGAGAGACATTAAAACTACTGAAAGAGAAACATCCCCTGCAAGCGACGAAGAAGGCATCAGGTTCCAGGGTGACTATATCCCACCAAATGCTGTCCTGTTCGAGAAAATAACAGGAGAGATGGTGTGGAAAAAGGCACTGAAGACTCGAGGAGGAGCGGCCCTTCAGGTCTGGATGCAAACGGTTGGAGAGTCATCCTCAGCACAAACAAGTTAAGCCCTGTAGCAAGCGATCTCTGCACTGCCATTGCCGCCCTTGCAAGAAAGCTTGCATCCTCTTGCTGCCATCACCTCCAGGCCCTGACGGCCTGCCGCCTTATTCCTCTGGAAAAGAAACCAGGATGTAGACCTATAGGGGTGGGGGAAGTGCTGAGGCGGATCATCGGCAAATGCATAATGGAGGTGGTAAAGGACGATGTCAGGGCAGCAGCAGGGAACCTACAAGTCTGTGCTGGCCACCAGGCTGGTGGAGAGGCGGCCATTCACGCCATGAGATTGATATTTGAGCAGTGTGATTGTGAGGCCGTTCTCCTGGTGAATGCTTCAAACGCATTCAACATACTTAACCGCAAGGCTGCACTGCACAACATCAAGATCAAGTGTCCAAGCTTTGCAATGTATGTTGAAAATTCGTATAGGAATCCATCAGACCTCTATATAGTAAACAACAAGGCTCCAAGAGGTGATACCATCTTACAGTCGACCGAGGGAACAACGGAGGGGGACCCTGTTGCAATGGCATTGTATGCAATAGGCCTATCAGTGCTCCAACAAGGAATAAAGTTTGAAACAACTGGGGTCAAACAAGTGGCATATGCTGATGACCTTACATGAGCAGGAAAAGTGGAGTGCATCAAAAAGTGGTGGGACCTGGTAACATCGCGAGGTCCACAAATAGGGTACCACCCAAACGCCACCAAGTCCTTCCTCATCGTGAAGCCAGAACATTATGATCGGGCAGTGGAGGTGTTTGGCGTAAGTGAGGTCGACTGTCTTTCTCTCTCCTTCGGTCGGCTTTGCTCTGCCTCTGGGGAACGAGAGCCTCTGCCCCAATTCCGACAACTGCTGCAGATATTGACTACGAGGCTACAGTCACTGAATGCCGCATAGATCTGTGGCTCAACTAATTCAACACAGATAGGATAGCTACTTATGTATTAGGATATTTAATATTAAGGTAATAAAATGGTGGCGAAGGTGTGGCTATTGGGGGAGGCTGTAGTAGTAGTAGTAGTAGAGGAAATAGTAATAACGTTATCATGAGATTCAGAACTAAAGACGTAATTCTCCCCACCAGCCCGGAAGAAGAGCAGGTCAGGCGCCATTGAACACGCCACACGGGACTTTGTGCAGAAGGCTCTGGACAGCGGCCTGATCACCAAAGAGGACGCGTCTGCTTGGATCTCACAATAAAGAGTCGCTCCTAGCTCTTGACGTCACAAATATTGTTTACTCTAGTCTCTGTGATGTTCATTTGTTCTTTTTGAAACTAATGACCATTCAATCTTAACCTTTGAGAACGATGTCTTAACACCTTGCTTACTATGACTTAACCCCTTAAGTATGACACATCAACCCCTTGAGCACATATCCACTGCAAAACAGATTTAATTAAAAGAAGGTTTGGTTGTATAATACTAAACGACTGTATCTTGTGATGATTGTATAGCATTATATGAGTTGCCTTCATGAACAACACACGTGGACGCCTCAGCACTGTCAATATTTTTATTTTTTATTTTGTCTCTGATTAATTTCTGATTAGATTCACTGTTTCAATTCAGTTTCAATTCCATCACAATATGTTAAGTTAATTTAATCATTAACAAAGAATATCTACTTGTATTTTGTATTCTTCCTTTCACCTTTGTTAAGAATAGGCAAATGAGATGTGCAAGGTGTATGTACTTGGTGATTGGATTCATATTCTTAGTGTATCAATTTACACCACACACACACTAGCTTACGTGACCAACAGGGTAAAAACCCGTCGCTGCCATCCATTACAACTGACATTGTTTCTTCACTTTATATTTGTTTTCCTTTTTATAATGAAAATATTTGTTCAACAACCACCCTCCCCCCATGTCACTGCATAAGTTACTTCTGCCCATTATATTGTTAGTCTAGTTGGTGCTGTAGCCTTACAATAAACAGTTTATTATTATTATTATTTTTGTTATTGTTGTTGGAATTATGATTATTATTCCTATTATTATTATTATTATTATTATTATTATATTACTGGTGTTATTATTATTAAACACACACACACGCACGCACGCACTCAAACACACCTGTGTAGTATACCACTCATCTCGCTTACCCACCAGAGACATTCTTATCAATCACCTCATTACCACCTCAGAGTTAGGTGCCCATGAGCCAAGCTGATGCTAAACAGTATGTGGGGATTTTGAGCGAAATTTACACCACTGAGAACGAGGACCAGCCGCTATTATCACTATGACCTTAACTGACTTAGCGGACAAGTACCAACACACCTATCAGTGCTCTGGTCCCCAGCTGCCACTCCCACTCAAGTACAGAGACCCTACATCAAGACCTACAGGCCGATTACTGACTCTGCAGTGCGTCTCTTCGGGCAGTGGATAGTTCACCATCCCTGGACTGAAGTACTTAGTGTGGATGACGTGGACACCATATGGGTAAATTATACTAACAAATAGTGGTACTTTGCTGTCACTCGGAATCGAGTATGACAATCATCCAGCTATGATACAAAGATATGAGTAATTAAGGATGTCACCTTCGTTGGAGGGCTCTGAGATGACTAGAGAGGCCGATACGGGATCGGCAGGGTCGTCCACATATGTTGCACGAGTGAAGGACTACATCTAGGGCGGGAGGGGCAGCAGCAGCGTCTTTCCAGCGTTGGGGCTTGTCTGCCTCGGTTTGCAGTCGGGCTAACTCGAAAGTATTGGCACCTTTTCGTGTGGTGCTCCTCCAAGCGTTACAGTGTGGAGTAATCGTCTCCCAGGTGAGGGGGTCGATTTGGCACATTTTTAGGTTTGTCTTAAGAATATCCTTATACCTTTTCAATTGCCCGCCAGCGTTACGTTTACTATTCGTTAGGTGACTGTAAAGTAGCTGCTTTGGCAGTCTACTGTCGTCCATGCGGGTAACATGGCCAGTCCAGCATAGTTGTTCGTGGATAATTGTAGCCTCGATACTCCTACAGTTGGTGTCGGCGAGAATACTGGCATTTCTTCTCTTGTCTTCCCAGCGAACTCGGAGGACGAAACGTAGACTACGATGGCGAAAGTTTTCAAGTGCCTTAACGTGCCTCCTGTATGTGACCCATGTCTCACTGCCATATAGCAGGGTGGGGAGGACCACTGCTCGATATACATGCAGCTTTGTAGACAATTTTAGCTATCTACAGCTGAAGACACGGGTACGGAGTCTGCCAAAGGCTTGAGATGCACATCTGATCCGATGTTGAATCTCTTCATCGATGTCCGCGGTGGTGGATAGGTGGGAGCCGAGATACTGAAAGTGGGTAACATTAGAGAGGGTAGTACCGTTAAGCTGGATGGATGATGGAGGTGTGGCTGAACCTGGGACAGGCTGAAAGAGAATCTGAGTCTTGCATACATTCACCTCAAGGCCGAAGTGTGCATACGCATCTGCAGCAGGCTTACCCTTCCAGAAGAAGGTATAGCTAGACTCCCATTCTGTGAGTCGCCCTCGTCTGGGAGCCGGGACTCACTAATGGCTGCTATGTCGATGTTATACCTAACCAGCTCCTCTGCCACAAGGGCGGTTCTTCTTTAAGGACGCTCATTTGTGCCAGTATCCAGAAGGGTTCTGACATTCCATGCAGCGACCATATGAGGTTGCATAGTTTGTTTTTGTTTTGATCTGTGATTATGATTGTGTTCTCAGCCGCATAAGGATGACCTTACTGGGTGCAGTTGCCCAGTCAAGTTGGTTCTTTAGGCAGGCTATGTTTAGGGCAACTTTTTTCGCCCCCTCCCTATGTGGGGTGAGCAGAGTGACTCCTCGAAAGGGCGGCTCAGTCGCACAGATAGGGCCGGATTGCACTGCTTCCTAGAACCCATTGCATAAACGACCATCTTATCTGTGCCAGCCATGTGCAGAGGTGTGACTAAGAGTCTCCCCGGCAGTCATCTCTGTCTGTCCCTGTCGCCACTGTATCGGGGATTTGATGATGATGAGAGGTATGATGAGCTGGATGATGGCTGTGCGTGAGTTGGTTTATGTGGTGAGGCAAGAGCACAGGATGCAACCACACATTTTGGCTCTCCATTTTTCTGATCCAGTTGTGCAAGTATTGCAACGATTGGGAGAGGGAGAGTTGCAATGGACTGCTGATAGCCCAATTTGTTGGGTTTCGTCTTAGTAGCCCGAGAAGTCCGCCAGATCACACCCAGCAGATTTGCCCTGGATCAAAGAAACAGCGCCTTTTATCTCTGTCATGGGTTGCGCTGGGCCTCCCGCACAACCCATCCCAAATGTTTGTTTAGGTAGAGATAAGGTACCTGGCCAGCCGATAGGGGTCGCCTCAAAACCACATTTTAGCCAGTAGGCTTTAGACCTTGGGTTATAGAAGACCTCCTGCTCCGCGGACTTAAGAACAGGGGCCATACAGTCCTACCAGTGCTACGAGTGTGTGTGTGCAAATCCCCGAGATTGTTGTTAAGTCCAGCGACCAGTTAACACATCCTGTAAAGGAAGTGATCACTGGTGAGGGCCTGTTTGCTACAAGAGCACTCCAGGCCGGCCTAATAGATCTAAACGATTAATTCTCCAGGTTGACAAACTCTCCCTTATAACTTACGGTACTGTGGCGTGAATGTGAGTGACTGACCTATCCATGCAAATTATAAGTCCAGTGTATGGAATTGTGCCAAATAAACGTAAGTGCAATGATCTGCCCGTATCTGTGATCCCTCTATTATTATTAATATTATTACCAAAGGTAATGACTATTTGGTTATTACAAAGTATAACCAATAACTTAGATGGATGTGGGAAATTAATGTAATTCATTAAATCATCATTTATCAAGTACACAACGCACTGAAGGCCGGAAGCAGAGTGAAATTCTTCGTAGTGATACACCATAATCTCCTGGGTGAGTAACCAGTGTGAAGGTATCTGATTTCTACGGTAAGAAAACCACTTTCCTGCATTTAAAACGTAACAATCACAATGGCCACAACCGCTACAGGTCCCTTCACAACCCAGTCATCCGTGAAATACACACTGCAAAGAACTCCCACTACCCAACCAAGCTGAAACAAACCAACAACAATGGTGGGGTTGTGGTGGAGGAGAGGGTCAGGGTGGGGATGGTGGTGGAGGAGAAGGCCATGGTGGTGGTGGTGGTGGTGGAGGAGAGGGTCGTACTGGTGGTGGGGCAGGAGGAGGAGAGGGTCGTATTAGTGATGGTGGAGGAGGAGAGGGTCGTACTGGTGGTGGGGCAGGAGAAGGTTCGTACTGGTGGTGGGGCAGGAGAATGTCGTACTGGTGGTGGGGCAGGAGAGGGTCGTACTGGTAGTGGGGCAGGAGGAGAGAAGGTCGTATTAGTGATGTGGTGGAGGAGGAGAGGGTCGTACTGGTGGTGATGGGAGGAGCGGGTCGCACTGGTGGTGATGGGGGAGGCAGGTCGTACTGGTGGTGGGACAGGAGGAGGAGAAGGTCGTACTAGTGATGGTGGAGGATGAGGAGAGGGTCGTACTGGTGGTAGTGGAGGAGAGGGTCGTACTGGTGGTGGGGCAGGAGGAGGAGAGGGTCGTACTGGTGGAGGGCAGGAGGAGGAGAGGGTCGTACTGGTGGAGGGGCAGGAGGAGGAGAGGGTCGTACTGGTGGTGGTGGAGGAGGAGAGGGGACACCCAACACCCCTCGGGAAGCCCATGACCTTGGGAACCCCATAATATTTACCCCGACTCAGAGTGGTGGTGTTGTGTCACTCTTCCTACAACCACCACCACCACCAGACAACACCACACACAACCACCACCACCACACGCCAGACAACACCACACACAACCAACACCACTACCATCTCACACCAGACAACACCACACACAACCACCACCACCACCAGACAACATCACTCTACACTACCACACACCACCACACTACCACACACACCACACCACCACACACCACCACCACCACACACCACACACCATATATTCATTAATTCTATTACAACTGAAGAATTTGGATCGCTTCAAATTTTAGAACTTGTTTATTTCACCTGGTAATTAAACACCCTAACGCTACCTGGAAGCCTATGGATAGGTTAGGTTGGGTTAGGTTAGGTTAGGTTAGGCTAGTTAGGTTAGGTTAGGTTAGCTGGGGTGCTTTACTTCCACGTGATCCCTCCATATATGACAGAAAAGCAGGACAAATAAGTAAATTAAATTATATTACGCATTTATGTTGAGACCAAACTCAGACGTCACTGTCGCTAAGTCTTAAGAACACACACACACACACACACACACACACACACACAACACACACACACACACACACACACACACACACACACACACACACACACACACACACACACACACACACACACACACACACACACACACACACACACACACACACACACACACACACACACACACACACACACACACACACACACACACTTACTTCCTTCCTCTCGCCATAAGAAAATAAGGAATCTGCAATAGGCCGGTTGGCCTGTGCATGGCAGCTCCTGTCGAGAGTTACTACCACTCTCTATCATCCATGACTCTATCTAGCCTCCTTTTAAAACTTTCCAGAGTTCCCGCACTTACTACAAAGTTGCTAAGCTTGTTCCACTCGTCCACCACCCTATTTGTGAACCAGTTTCTTCCTATCTCCCTCCTAAACCTAAACTTATCCAACTTGAATCCGTTGCTCCGAGTCCTATCCTGCTCGGATATAATAAGAACTTTATTGATTCCTTTCACCCACTTAAATACTTCTATCATATCTCCCTGCACTCTTCATCTTTCTAGGGAATGCAAGTTAAGTTTCTTTAACCTATCCTGATATGGAAGGTTTCTAAGTCCCGGAATCATTTTTGTCATTCTTCGCTGCACCGACTCTAGTGAATTGATATCCATTCTATAATAGGGGCACCAGAACTGAATCGCATAATCGAGGTGC